GAGAGAGAGTTTGCAGCGGGAACTGTAAGAAAAGGATTTTGCAGCGAGAACTGTGTGAGAGAGAATTTGCAGCGGGTACTTCTACTAGTTTTAAAATAAATTAATCTAGAAAAAAAAATTTGTTTTTCTTCTCTTAATAATTTACGAATTTGTGATATTCAACATGAAATATTCTAAAGGTGTGAGTGTGTGATGGTATTGTGCTATGAGCATTAGTATTTGAAGCAAACACAACCCCACACCCACACCCTCAAGAACAATCTGGGACTAAGTAAATCGAGTTTGAATATTGAAGAAAAAATGAATATGTTAAGTTTTATTTTTATTTATTTAGTAAGCATAAAGCGTGATTAATATGAATAGAAATGAAAAGCAATAAAGTTTTTGTTTGTTTAAGATAAATTTGTAGCCGTATTAACTCTACTATTTACCCGACACATTTTTTTGACAATAATAATAGCAATTAATCGACAAATAATAACTAAACCACCATATAAACCAATTAATGCTAATATTCCTTCAATAGCATTCCTTTTATCAACATATGAATAAATACATAATGATGGTGAACATGCATCAAAATAATTTGTATAATTTATTTCAGATTTTAATTCTTCAATCATTGATTTATTGACAACTGATTCAATTGTTTGATTTAATAAAAAACGACTTCTTTCTAATGATGAAATATTTATTGATTTGAAATTATTTGTTGAATCAATACATTGTTGATTATAAAAACAGTCTAATGTTGTTTGAAATATTGTTTCAAGTGGATAACAACCAGTTAACATTCCACGAGATGAACTAACGCATTTAGATGATGATGAACAACTACATCCATTATAATTTAAGGGAAACATATAAATAACCATGTAAGCAAAGTCAGGATCTGAACCGTCTAACTCCCAATTACTTAGATATTTAGTCATTAACATATTACTACTAGTTGTTTCTCGAATTAATGAAATACTATTGACAAATGATTGTGATATTGTTTGTTTAAATTCATTAATAAACATTTCAATTGTATTATTTAAGAGATATGATGATAAAAGTTGATTATTAATAAAATTCGCTGTTCCTAATTGAATAATTGATTCAGAAACTGTTTCGTTTGATAAATTACAAAATGAGGAAAGTAATTTAAATTGTCCAACAGCTGAATTATAAAAATCATATGGTGAATGTCGTTTATTACTATCTCTTTTCTTATATAAATATAAAAGCCACCGATCTGTAATAAAGTTACTTGAACATATTTCATGAAAACGAGTTGTAAAAGTTAAAAATGATTTATATTTCATTGATAATTGCGAACATGGACATTCCAGTGTATCATTATATTTTTTATGTAGATCTTCATAGATTTCTAATGAAGGTTTATTCGTTTGAATAGTAATTACATGAGGAGTAAAAGTAGAAAATATATAAAATATAGTAAGAATTCCAATAACTAAAATCACATGTAATCGATGAATAATTTGATTTTCAGTATGACAAATAAAGATTTGTTTAATGAAATTGAATGAAATTAAATGAAAGAAATTATTTGATAAAATTTTATTAATAAATTCCAGACTAATCATAATTAAAAGTTTCGATGCAAGTGATAAACCACCAAAAATACTTATAATAGTTGTAATACTAATAAAAATATTATTTCGATCATCATATTGATATGTACATGATTTTGGTAAACATTTTTCATAATATGATGAAAAATTAACATTTGGTAACCATTTATCAACCATTAATCGATTGAGAATCATTTCGATTGTTTCATTTGGTTGATTTAAATTTTGATCAAGAGCAGAAAAATTGAAAGGTACTGAAGAACCTAAATGTTTATTAATTTCTAACATACATGATAGATTATAAAAACATTCTAATGTTGATAGCAATAATGATTGAGTTGGATAACAACCATAAAAAATATTCGAGACTGGATATGGATCACTTAGATATTCACCATAGTTATCGAGTTGATAAATTGTAGCAGTAGAATTACAGGATGAAGATAAAATACAATTACACCCTTGCTCTGTTTCTGAGTTTATATATACTTCTGAATTTCTATCTACTTCAAAAGTGCCAGTATGTATACTACTAATCAATTGATTTCCTTGATAAATTTGTTGAATTAATTGAATAGTTCTTTTAAAATTATTTGTTGTTGTTAATTCCCAATCTTCAATCGATGAATCTATTTGATTTTGAAACGATTCGTTTGTAAGAGCTTGTGAACTAACGAATTCTGTCCTGAGAAAAATCTCAAGTGCATTATCAATGATTTCTTTAGCTTGTTCACAAAATATTGATAATAATTGAAAATAACTAATAGAAATTAGTCGATAATCATAATGAAATGTACCACTACTATCGATACTTTCCGTGATGTAACGAATCCAACTTTCAGAAATGAGAACACTTCGACATAATTGATGATATTGTGGTTGAATTATTGTAAAATTTGAATAAGATATTGATATTGAACTACATGGACATGAAAGTGATCGAGAATATTTTTGTTGAAGTTGAATAAACTGAGATTCAGTAGGATAAGAAATCGTTTTTGACTGAACCGATTCTTGTAAAAATACATAAATAGTTATAATTATCATTGAACTAATGAGAAAAAATAAATACAATCGTGTTGCATAACGTTGAAATTTCGTTTGTCGATTTGTATTAGAAGAATGTTTGAAAATGTTCAATTCAATTAATTTCTTTTTCATATTTTCTTTATATTGATATAAACGATTTTTAACTAAATATTAAGAGAAGAAATATGATTTCATTTTATCAAAATATACAAAATTAATTACTTTTTAACTATTGTCATAAATAAAATCATCAACTCTTTTTTCATGCTTGACTTACGCTTATTTTCACTTTGTCATCTTTTTCTTTTTTACTGTTCTGTTCTTAACTACTAATTTGTTACTTTTCACTTTCTCATTGACAGTAATTTCTACTTACATGAAATTCGTGGTTTTGGTGTTCGATCTCGTCGTTTCATAATGAATCCAATGACAAGCGGAATTATTAATCTCAGTATTAATGTCAAACTAGACAATAAACTAATCAGTTTTTTCAAGACATGAACAAAATCCCGTCGAGATATTTTCAAATAAGTACATGAAGATGGTGCACATTCTGAATAATATTTATCATAAGAAATATTCATTGTCCAATTTTCAATCATCAAATTATCAATTATTGATTGGACAGTTGATGTTGGTTCATATAAACTTTCATTATTTATAATCATCGCTTTGAATTCTTTACTTGTTGGAAAATATGAAATAAGTTTTTTTACACATGTTTGATTGTATAAACATTCAAGTGTCGACGATAGAAGTGTAAATCCTGGGAAACAACCTATTGACATTCCTGGTATAGACCATGCTAAACTATCCATGGTCTGAAACACTACCTGTCTTCCAAATTTATTGACAATACCTGATCCTCTTTGATTACAATTGTTTAGTGGGCACTCACACTCAGAACCATTCGTTCGTCGGTAAGAACGTGTATGTAGACCAAGTCCCTCGCCTATCTTTAGGAAAAAGGTGGTAGTTTGTACTGCAGGTATTAATTCATTGGCGATTGTCATTTCGATGATTAATTTTAGTTGACTATTAAAAGTATTTGGTGTTTTTAGTTTGAATTGTTCAATTGTTGTATTGATTTGTGACTCCAGAAATGTTTCTGTTAAAATTTGCGGACTCAACAATGTATTTTGAAAAATGGCATAAATACTTTGATTAGTATATGATTTTGACAAACGACAGTAAGCAGCAAGTGCTTGAAATTGAGCATTACCAAAACGTCGAAAGTCTTGAAAGGTAAAGTAAGTTGTATTTGTTTTCGAATCAATTGTATTTAGCCATCGATC